AGCCCCCACACCCCCCACCCCTGACTATTTATTTGCAGCAAGAGAATTAAGTTGATTGACGGACAGCCATTCTGCTCAGACTAAGGAAGGAGAAATCCCCTTATTCCGCCCAGTCTACATGTCTGTCTCCTTCAGTTAAAGCAACAAGATGCATTCTGTTCCTCCTCCCCTAACAAATCAAGTGTTGTTACGTTTGGCGTGAAGGCAATAAGAAGGAATAAGAAGGAATTGCTGTCTGTGTTAATCTGTCTCCCCAGCTCTGGGTGGCGCTGATGTCATGGACGGTGATGTCATCACCGGCACTGTCCAGCCAACTGCAGCTCAAGCTGGTGCGTAACATTCTCTCTCATCTGTCTTCATTTCTTCCCTTTTTCTCCTTTCCATTCTCTGCCTGGTCTTTCTTCCTTTCCCTTCTTCTGCTGTCCTTCCTTTCGTTTTCCCCCTTCGCTAATTATCCTTCACTGTGCACATCCTCACTGCTTCTTGAGAGGAGAGTTCACTTCCAATCTTGGTTGGGTGGTCTCAGCTTTTGAGAGGTAGTCACACACATACACAGTCCAACACCTTATTTTATAAGATCAGGACACAGGGTCTTATGTTCCATATTTATTTTGTATATAATCTTGTATTTTCATTTCTGTCGTTTTTAAAAGATTTTATTTTTCACATAATATGAAAATTCCATATTAATAAATACATAATAATAACATCCTATATGTATTCTATATGTAAGCAATATGTATCTTATATATTATATATATGTTAATACCTATATGTAATAATATGTTCCATATATATTCTATATATGTAAGTAACTATACATAACAAAAACGTGTCACATATGTATTATATATATGTAGTACTTACATGTAGTAACTTTGGCCTGAATAATTCACATACTAGATTATTTGTTCATTACATTGGTATTTCATTCATTCTGTATTTAATATTTGAAAACTTTGTATTTTTTGCCTCTGTCTGTCTGTCTGTCAATGGTCATCTGCAAAATTTGTTAAACTCAGCAAATAAACAGTAATTGTGCATTAACATGTGCAGAAATGTGTTCTCTGTAGTGGATGTGTTAACCTATTCTGATGTAGAAAATCAAAACATTTGACCAAGTGCACCCAAACTTTTGTATATGATTGTACTAGCCACATATATAACCACAATAATATATATATGTTTTATACATTGGTCTGAAATTTTCTAAATGAACTTTAAACCTAATGTAACCTCAACCTGAGGAACAAAAAATAAATGGCTTTCAGTTTTAAAAAATAAATTTTGTTTGTACAGTATGAACACATTTGTCCAGTAAACGTATAAAAACACCCACTTACACACACACGCAAACACTCCCACCTTCCAACACACCTACACATGCACTTCACCTTGGCATGCCATGCCGTCCTGCCTGACGAATGTGATAATGCGATTAGGAGCAGTAACCCCTGGGCCTGCTCTGCTGATATGCTAAATACAGAGTCATGCTGGAGAGAGGCCTGAAGATCAATAACTCTAACACAACAGCAGCAGCCCAGGACCTCCCACCTCATCCAGGCTTTCTGCACCACCAGCCCAACAGCCCAGCACACCAGCAGCATCCTCTGATTAATCCTGCTATCAATCTGCTGATCTCTCAGGTTTAGAGGAGGAACAGACTGGAAGGAGAGGATATGCATGTCAATAGATCTCATTATAGGTAAAGGAAAAAGATAAACATAGCCCTTCTTATCATGTTTGTCTCTCTGCTGTTAGGTTGCTGGTGGACGTTACATTTGGAGGCTCGTCTCTTTCTCTGTTTTTCTCAGTTTTGCGATAAATTTGATCATCCACTGCGCTCCATAGGGAGACCGTAAACAGCACTGCTTTGTGGCGTGCCTTTCGTACTGATAGTACAGCAATCAATCCGAGAGCACACAGCTCACAGGACTATGTTCACTCCCTCCTGCCAAAGCTGCTGGCACACGGCCAAGACAATGGATAGCGCAATAGAGGAGAAAACAGTTGCAGACTGAGCCAGAGGAGTTGACGAGTTTGCAGACATGACATCTCAATCAACAATATAACATGTGAAACGCGGCTGCTTGAGGGCAAAACTGCTGAAGAGAATAGTTCTAAACTCAAAAATAGCACACTCTGCTGTGGAATTCATCAGGAGGACCGAGTTCTCAGTTCAATTTTTTCTCACTGCTGCAGAGACTTGGTCTAAACATATAAGAATACTTTACAACAGAAATCAGTTGTTACTGAAGATTAATGGACAAGCTTAATAGAATTGGTGTTAACCTCTGCTACAGTGTAGCTCACCACTATGGCTGGACATAGGTGATATAACACATCTCTATTTAAAGCCCCCTAGTGGCCATTCCACCGATGGAATGGAAATCAAATCAGACATTTTTAATTAATAAAATCAAATAAAATATTTTTCTCTATTACTTTGTTATCAAATTATTAGTACACTGTTGGTGAGCTGTTGTCTGTGTTGAGCTGCTAGCAAGCAATGAGGGGTGAAAGAAAAGGGGTAGGAAGTAGCTTGTAAACACATTAAAAATATTTTTATAAATGCTGACTTGCTTGCTCACCTATGAAGACATATAGAAAATACAGTTCATTTTTGTTTTTGTAAATCATATTATAATATTTCCATTACACAAATGCACAGATGAGCCAAAACATTATAACGACACACAGATAGCAAGTAAATAGTCGGTTCTCATATTCGACGTGATAAATGCGGGAGAAATGGGCAGGAGTGAAGACCTGAGTGACCCTGACAGGGATCCTAATGGTTATGACTAGACAACTGTGTCAGAGCAACTTCAAAATGGCAAGATCTCTAAATTCCCCATATTTCAATCCGATCAAGCACCTGTGGGATGTGCTGGAACAAGAAGGCTATGGCAGCTCCACTTTGCGATTTACAGGACTTAAAAGATCTGTTCCTAATGGCTTGGTGCTGGATAACACAAGGGCACCTTTAGAGGTCTTGTGAAGTCCACGTTTTGATGGCACGGGAAGGACCAACAGCATTTAGGCATAATGTTTTGGCTCATTGATGTATGTTTGACCAGTCTTATCAAAGGAACAATGCATAGTGACCTAATTAACACTAAAGTTAATGTTGTCCGACCTAGAGCGAGTTAATGACTTAACCTGAAGTGGACAGCAATTCTTACAGTATAACATCTATGTCAGTGGATAACGAAAGCAAAAGAACAATTATGCTGAAAGTTAAAACAAAAAAAGAAGCCTGGGAGCATTTTCTTAAAATTAATGATGAAGTAGTCATATACAACATGTGCAAGTCTTTCCACAGAAGCATGACATTTTCTTTAACCACCAGAAAAAGAAAATATTCTATTGTTGACTCTGAAGCAGAAGAATGGTCAGTAAACATTAGTTTCACCTCCATGCTGGAGTTCTGATAAACCAAACCACTCCCTGAGGACACGCAGTTCACACTGATTTGTCAGAATGAGCTAATGTTGCCCCTACAAACATCACTAAAGTTCATGTTACATTACTAAAGATAGTGACTGGAGTATCCTAAGCCGTATACGTTTCTGTTAATTAGGAATATTAATCAGACTATTTCAAAAAACTACTAAACATACAGCAACACGTCTTGCCACAGCATTACATACACCGATCAGGCATAACATTATGACCACCATTTTATCAGGTACACTTACTATATAGGTGCACTTTGTAGTTCTACAGTTACAGACTGTAGTCCATCTGTTTCTCTGCATACTTTTCTAGCCCCCTTTTACCCTGTTCTTCAGTGGTCAGGACCCCCATGGACCCTCACAGAGCAGGTACTATTTGGGTGATGGATCATTCTCAGCACTGCAGTAACACTGACGTAGTGGTGGTGTGTTAATGTGTGTTGTGCTGGTACGAGTGGATCAGACACAGCAGTGCTGCTGGAGTTTTTAAACACCTCAGTGTCACTGCTGGACTGAGAATAGTCCACCAACCAAAAATATCCAGCCAACAGCATCTCGTGGGCAGCGTCCTGTGACCACCAATTAAGGACTAGAGGATGATTAGCTCATACTGTACAGCAAGAGATGAGCTATCGTCTTTGGCTTTACATCTACTGGGTGGACCAACAACGCAAGTTCGTCTAATAGAGTGGACAGTGAGAGGACACCGTGTTTAAAAACTCCAGCAGCACTGCTGTGTGGTCATAATGTTATGCCTGATCAGTGTACATAAGCTATATAAGTACAACAGGTTAATTAGTTTAAAATACAGCTCATTTTACAGCTCTTCACATTTACAGGCCACATTCACGAAGATTAATCAATTATTAGTGGATTCATTCACATGAATAATCGAATATCACAATATCTGTCTTTTGTGGGCCTAGTTTTAAGCATATACTGCAAGTTCTGCCTCTGGAGAACTATTTTACTGAAGACTTTAGTCTGTGCCCTAATGTAACACACTGTGTTCAGGTATTCAGATGCTTCTGACATATCTTGATTAGCTGGATTTGAATGTGTTAGATTAGGCCCGGAATTGAACTCTGCAGGAGCGCAGCTTTCAAGGAGATTGAAGGCTGGAGATAACTGGCCTAAAGACTCAGAGCCATAAAAAGCTTTTATCAGGATGAGGCTTTCCTGCAGCAAATTGCTTTAAATTTGGATCAATTTAGGAAATGACTGTGGATTGGGGTCAGATGAACTGATGTGTAGTATTGTGCAGTTCAAAAAGTGCCAAAAGTACTGGTTCATTAAAACTGTCATACCAACTGATAAGCTAAAGTCTGTAGCTATTAAAATGTTCTAAAAGCTTAAGTTGGTTTTCCAGAAACAGACTAAGCCTAGACTGCAATACATCTCATTTTAACCCCTTAAATTCCTAGATGTATTATATCTTAAGGCTTATTATTTAGCAATTACTTGGATAGCAGTGCTGTCTGAGTTATTTTTCAATTACAGTAGTTAGGAATGTAAGTCTGGTCATTCAATGTTAGCACGCACCAGTCTGCGGATCTCCCTCTCGCACTCTTTCTTGATGCGGCTGATCTCCTCCTGGTGGAGGTGGTAGACGCTCCGGATTTCCGCTGCTTTGATCTTGTCTGCCTGCACGGCCACATTCAGCGCTTCTTCCATCTGCCGCTTCACCCCCTTCAGCTCGGAGATCTCCTGCTGCAGCCGCGAACGCTCCAGCTCAAACCCCCGTCGCGCCTCCTCACGAGCCTCCGCCATCAGCGCCGATTTCACCTGCAGGACAACCAGTAAACAGCACGTCATTGCTATTTTTACTTTAATTAGGTCTGCGTTAGAATGACAAAGTACTTAGAAACTATTTCTTTTTCAGAAAGTTAAAATAACTTCTTAACATTTTTGACGCAGTGTTTCAGAGACACTTAACGTCCCTCTTTTTGTGTCGAGAAATCCTGGAGAAGCATTCGAACCAGAGTGCACTAAGGGAACTGTAAAGCACAAAGGTGGAAAAATCAAAATCTAGGACTGTCTTTCTTACAATGGTGGGAGTGAACTTGTGTTCACTGAGTGAGCTTACATGCACTTAACAATCCGATCATAATCAGATTCCTGTAGTTATCTGATTGTTCAAATGGTCATGTAAACAGCACACTTTGATATCTTAGATCAGAGTAAGGTCTAGAAATCTGATTAAGGAATCTGATAAAGAGACCTGGATTTTCGCTCAGTAATCAGATTTCTCAGTGCATGCAAACTCTTACTCTGATTTCTTTCGACTTTCTCAGTCTGCACATGTGCAAAAAACAGATTGCGGTACCGGAAATAAGCAAGCAACGTTGTCACAAGATGGCAACAAAACACTTTTGAAGCGACACTAAAACCAACTACATTCTTGACAAAATAAAGAGTTTAAATATTCTTTATTTTCTAGATGATGTATGTCCATATTCAACAAAAGCGGTGTGACATTATTCCTAAAAAAAAAGCTGCGGCATGAAGTTTGAGTTTTACATTACATTTACATCACGTCTTATTCTGTGAGTTTATTGGCCGGCTGCAAAGCAGAAATCCGATTACTGCCTGACTCATGTAGACCTGGAGTTTCCCCATTATCTGATTACTCAAGTGCATGTAAAAACGTTGATCGGATTACTGACAAAATCAGATTTTCTGCAGTTATCGGATTATTAACTGTATGTAAATGCGCTCACTGATGTGATCATGATCTCAGAAATGTGTACAAAGGCATTTTGGATGCAAACCTGCAGAAAACTGAGAAGAAACTGCTCTAATGACAACAATCTGAAACACACCAAACGCTTTTTGAAAGAACACTTTGCCGAAAGGAAAACTATAGTTTTGGAACTGTCGGTTTTAAATAAATGCTACTTGGTTTGATGTTTTGTTTCCAACACCATAAAAATACATTTGTAGGTACTGCATAAATGTCCAAATACTTATTGGAGCCGCTGTACATCAGAACAAAGTCGAGGAAGATTTCTGACTTTTCCATGTTAATAAGGGCAGCCCTAATGCACTAACTGGGCACATAAGAACAGTGAAAAAATGGAATGGCTCAGTGCAGGAATACAGTAAAAACAGCTCCAAGGGCTTTTCTAATTATAGACAAATTTCCCGTTTATAATTGCCTGATTAGGGAACACACGACCTTTCCAGCAAACCTTCGACCTGTTCTTCACCTTGTCTGTAGAGCCATCTCGGAGTGCGTTAACGAGGGCCTGCAGCCTTTGGATCTCGCCATCTTTGATCTTAATGACTCGCAGCAGCTCAGACTCATGCTGCCGCAGCAGCGTCTCCCGGACGCCGTGCAGCTCCCGCACTTTCTCCTCGTGCAGCTTGGCCTTCAGCTCCGTCACCACCACCGCAGACTTGTGCTGCTCATGACGGACCTCATGTGTCTTCTCCCTCTCCAGCTTACTAACCTGGAGGAGCAGAGGAGACAGAGAAGGCAGAGGAGAAAAAAGATTAAATATATAAGAGCAGATTATAAAATGATTGGTAAAAGAGCCCTCTGTGGAAATGCTCAGTGAATGACTGATTCATTGTGACATATTTCTTGGCACTAGATTGTTTTTCTGGTTTTGTTTAAAGAAAGAGACCAGGGGCTAATTCAGTCTTGAGGGGAGTATTCACCCTGCCCTAACACACCTGAGTTCATGTGTCAAGTTAATTATCATGTCATTATCATATCACTAAATAAGCAGGGGTCAGAGGAAACTCAGCATTGTGCAGTGCTCTGGATTAAGATAATTTGCATACATTGTCTATTGTCAAACCTGGTCCTGGAGTATCCCCTGGCCTGTACACACTTGATCCAACTAAGCAGTTAAATAGCAAGCGCTTCCTGAGTTGAAGTGGGTGTTTTAGAGCAGGAAAACACAAAAATGTGCAGGACAGGGGGTACGTCTGGACCAGAGTGGAGAACCAGTGGTCTAAGAGTAGCAAGTCAAAGTGATTGGACTGAAATTAGAGACTACAACACAGTCCTTCTACTCCTGTCCTCTAAAAGACTTTCTACTTGTTTTTCTTTTTTTTAATCACACATTTTTTACAAAGCAAATAAGTGTGAAGGTTTATTTGTGAAGGATTTTTTCCATAAATACCCCTTGCCAGTGAAATCCCTCTGTTGCTATAAACTAAATCATTGTTTTGTTTGATAATGGATAGCAATGGCATGTTATTCCCTCTGTTTGGTAGTCATCATTTGTGGTCATGTTAGCTACTACCTGGCCTTGACTTACTACTACTAGCCTAGGTGGCTGAAAATCTCAATTTTTGTCAGATTCAACAGAAGAAAGGAAATGGTGGATATTCCTCAAGGACAAATTAAACTCAATATGATAAACAGAAAATAATACTAGTATGGGGTAGGTGATATGGCAAAAACAATATCACTATACTTTTACACAACATATTTTCAAAATAGAGTATGCATTATGATATTCTGTTTGAGGTTTGTAGTGTCACATTTAAAAAAATGCTATGAGTACAATGACTTTTGTTCAACATTTTACATTCTGTGCTACAGTAAATCCAGTTAAACAGGCTTAAGTAGGCACTATTTGCAATCAAACATGCAGCTGGTCAGTGCTCGTATGAGGGCTAAATGATTAATCGTGCAAGTGAAACTGCAATTGGAAAGAGTACAATTTTCAAATTGCAAGATCTGCAATTTTAATTATATCCTACATTATTCAGAATTGTCCAAACAATGTTTAAGTGGGGAAATTTAATATAATGCCACAAATGACATAATGACATAAAGTTTGAACTGGCATTCTGATATTCAGCATATATGTGCTGGTATTTTTGTCAAAAAAGGCCTAAAGCTTAATTACTGAAAATAATGACATTTGACTTACAATTGCAATATCGGTTAGAAAAATTGCAATTAGATATTTTTCACAAATAGTTCAGCCCCAGTCAGTACTGATGCCATCCATACTATCAGAAAAGCGTGGCATAATTTCTCTTGACACGATAAAATACTGTCACATTACTCACCCCCAATATGGTCTCATTATATTTTTCAATAAGAAAAAGCTCAAAAGTTACTAACTTTGTGCATGAAGGTTTTCCATAATTGTGCCATGATGGAGGCTATAGCCAGTGAATGCTCTTTTAACTGCCCTTGATATAAAGAGCCTCACTTGCAAATGCAATCTTACAAATTAAATCCACAAAAATTATTCACGTCAACTGTAGAAGGCTGGCGTTTGTAATAAATGTGTTTACTATACTAGAGGATTATTACTTTGGCCTTACAAGCATTATGACCTGTACACAGTCAGTACCATCACAGACAAACTACACATAGATTTTGTTAGTATTTTGTGTCCCTTGACTCCAAACTCAAACAGTCATTTTTGGCCTGATGTTTCCAAATGTTTGCACAAATGCTGCTGCACTACATCTGGAGGTTTCCAGTCATTATTTAACCTGCAGAGGACGTTCAGCCTGGACTATTAATAGAATGTTAGTGTTTCAGGACACAACCCTGTTACACAGTATTCAGGGTCACATTAGAGCGTTTCCTGTGCTTACATATACTGACATGAACCATAGAGGACTCCAACACCACACACACAAAAACACACATACAGACACAAAATGCTGTAACAGAGAAATTACTATACATATTATCCTGCAAGAGAAAACCAGGCAAATGACTCACACACCACTGAAAGTCATAGCACCCTCAGGCTAAGTCTCTACTGTCTGTAGTAAAAATAACCCAAAACAAACTGTGACGAAATTATTTGTCTACCTACTTAGGCCATCATTACGAACACAGAACTGCAGCTATGAATAGCAGTGAGTTGCTATTCCTTATGTGACCTGGTTTATTCTGGTTGAATAACCTGTGGGACTAGGCCACTGTTCCAGTGTAAACATTTGGAAAAACAGATTCAAAATCTAGTGCATCATAGTGGATAAAGAAGATATCAGTACTGCATCAATAATACAGCCTAAAAGCTTTAGTTTGATATCGATTTATTGACCAATATTTAGTGTCACAATGATGCTGCATTAATTAGCCTGTGTTCTGGTAGAATGGGTATAATTGTGTCTCATTACTAAGACTTTTATGGTGGTTTGCATTTATATAAAGTATTTTGAGCCTGTAAATGTAATCAGTTACCGTCCATATTCGCAGTTAAATATCACTGATCCTAAATATCAACACTTGCAGATATATTACATATTAATAATTGGTTCAGAATTGTCACATTAGTATATCCATAGCGACTTTTTTCCTTAGAGCCCTAAGCCGTTCCTGGGCATGTTCTGTCACCTTCACATGTAAGTTCACAACAGATCCATCTCTGACTGTAATATCTAAGTATTGCAGTCTATGGAACCTGCAGCAACTAATCAACTTACAGCACTTTGCAAAAGTTAGAGATCAGCCTACTATTTAATTTCCAGGCTGTGACTCCTCATGAGTATACATGACCTTGTAGACCACCAAAACTATCAGATAAACAGCTTTCATCTTTAGGAGAAATTCAAGATCAACTCTTTCTTCAGATTTGAAAAAAAACCCACAGGTGTTTCTGTTCATCCATCCATACACACTAAATACTGAAAAAAAAAAAGATATTATACTTGCTGTTGAGGCTTCTGTGTAAGCCTTACCAGCCAAATATACGGTGTCATGTTCCGTTAAATATATTGTGCTTACTGACCATTCTGACTGGAAATGAAAGCTCTGTATGTGAATATGGACAAGACAAAGAAGATCGTTGTTGACTTCAGGAGAGCACAGAGCGACCACTCTCTGCTCACCATCAACTCCCCTGTGAAGATCATGCCTAGTTACTGCCTAGTTTGGGAACTGCACTGCCTCCAACCTTAACTCCCACAGACTGAACTGACGGACACCCACACAGACACACACACAAATATACATAACAATATGACACCATTCCACTCAGAAATTCCAGAATATGTCTGTGACACCATATTTAAATATACATATTGCATTTCACACTGAAATACATTTTTGCAGATTTTATTTCTTTAACAATATCGGCTGGTAGAATACTTCATCAACCAAATACTGTATTCCGTTGCTGTTGTTCTGGTTGCTACCTCAGTGACTGCTATGCTGATATATGCTAGGCTAACTGCTAATATGTCATAGTATGTTACACCCTGCTTTGCACAATCTACATACTCTCAGTACCATGTACTGCCTGAGTTCTGTTTACTGTAAGTCTTCTGTATTTATTGCACTGCATTGTCTGCACCGTGTATATTGTATTGTCTTGCACTTGTGTTCCTGTGTTGGTACTGGAGGAATGTTGTTTTGTTTCACATTTAATGATGAAATCTCTTGAAACACAATATATACAAATGCCAAAATGTTTTGGAAGATCTGGGAACTTCAGAAAACATTGTGTATGTTTTAGTATAGTACTCACATATGTGCTTTTTTTCAAAGACTGGATCACTGATCGTAAATCAGTGTGGTTCTGATTTTGCCCATGAGTACGGCCAGCACAAGAGTAAATAAAATCACAAAAAGAAGAAAGAAATGAACTAGACACAGTGGCCTGAAGGTCTGATGCTTATTATAGGTCGAAGCCAGCGTGTGTGTGTGCATGTAGCCAGATGGAGTCAGCAGCCCTGTGGTAAAATAAAATAGTTGGGCAAAACTCAAATTTGACTATGGACCAAAACAGGCCAGACGGTCATCGAACAGCCTCCACGTCCACATGGGATGTATAAATCCCGGAGCACCCGCAGACCCACTGTGTGTGTGTTTAATGTAGCTGGAAAGACTCTGTGGGGTCTGCATGATTTGTAGCTGAGTAAGGCACTGGTGCTGTCCAGAGAGATTGCAGTGCTGGAGGCTAAGCTATCCAACAGGCCTCCAGTGACAACCCAGTCATCCATCACATTAATTAAGGTCATGAGGGAAAGCACACACACTCAGTGACCATGGCTGGATATGGGCTCAAAAACAGGACAGTTACTGTTTGGAAACACTGGCCACTTAGAAGCCCCTCTTTTTAAGCTCCACCTTAGAGTGCAGTAAGAGAGAGTAGCCCATCTGCTGATGAACAGTTAACGGTCATGCTCTAGCCCATCATCAATGGTCAATGTCTGACCACAGAGGTGCGTTTGGCTGGATATTTTTGGACATTGGACCACTCTCAACCTAGCAGTGACACCGCTGTGCTTCATACATTCACACCAGTGCCATATGCGCTACCATGGGACTGCCAAGTCAGCATCACTGCTGTAACGGTCCACCACCCAAATAATGTCTGGTGAACTGCAGTCCTTTGGTCAGAAACTGACCAATGATGAACAGGGTACTGGTGAACTGAAAAAAGTCCATGACAACAGCAATAGGTAGGCTAAAGTCCATTACTATTCACCAATATAGTGGACCTACAAGGTAGGTGGAGCT